TGTCCTGCACTGTATAAAATTCCGTGTTGATCAAAAATTTTTTATTAGCAAGTGACACTTGACCCCCTGTAGATCCGCAATGTCCCGCGACTGCTATAGATCGGCGGGAAATGTCCTGTGACTGGTATTAGTATATTTTACAATTTCTTTTGGAATAATTCTGTATCTTTTATAATAATCATTTCATAGCAATAAAAATTATAATTCATACGAAATTTCTGTATGCAAATTTTTTATAGGGTTGGATCTATGAATACAGGATAATAACCATGTCTGATGCCAACCCTGATTACATATGTCAGATTTAATAAACTTCCTCTCTCAAACATACAATTATGTGCTCTTGCACACTTTCATAACTGTGGAATCTCCTCCATGGTGGGACACTGCATGTTGGATGACTTCGGGCTTTAACAGTTTCCTTGACAATGATGCAATTCCCATAAACTTGAGGGTTGCATTACTCCCTGAAATTCAATTCAATTGCATTGTTGTATTGTTGGAGAAACAGCTTTATGTGCTCATGGAATAAGAGAATGATTGAAATGGTTTAACTGTAAGTTTCCAGTAACCTAACATTGCATATCAAATTGTTTGATATTTCCAAATTGTTTAATGTTTCTGAGTTGTCAAAGTATGTATAGTTTTCCATATGAGATAGAGAGAGGTAGAAATCTCCAATGGTCATGTTGCTTTAACATTTCTTATAACTGTTTAATCTTATGTATTATATAAAAGACTATCACATTTATACATTTATACATAATAATTTGGCTATTATATAAAAAATAAAGGCGTCAATTAACCACACCAAATGCAACATGATGGACATTCATATGCTATACAATCACCAATATACATTTCATTTGAAGATTTAAACCACTATTACCCCATTTGGAAGGTGAATGAACGAACACTAATTAACCTGTATTCAAACTTTGGAGTAATATAATCCTTTATCTTTTAAAATGTTTTCCATGTCAGATCATTGCAGATCATTCCGTCCTTGACTTCAGTATATAATAGTGAAAAATGTCAAAAACTAAACAATGTGCACTTTGTAAAGAAACTAAAACTGAAAGTTTTAGAACAATAAATGAAATTACTAAAGCTGAAGAGGATGCTTTGAATTTAATATAGGTGATTCTCTCTGCACACCTCAAAGGTTCGAAACATTAAATATCAAAAAATAGACTTAATACTAGTCAGGAAACATATCTACCAATAACAAAAAAATTAAGAAAATAATTAAATACTGTAAAATAGTAAATTATAAATCACGGGAAACTGATATATAAATCGGAAATGATTTACGAAGTTACACGCAAATAAAATCGGAAAAACTGATCAAGTGATCAAAACAGTTAAATTTATTCAAACACTAATAAAATAATTGACTCACGGAAATATTGGAAATATAAATATTCCAAAATTCTAAAATATAACGAATTACAAAGTCTCAGAATAATATTTAAGCGAAAGAATTTTACATGACTCATGTTGACTAGAAATTACTTGAAAATAATTCTACATGGAAGGTTTAAATAATGATTAAAGAATACATTAATTAGTATAATTTAGGATTTTAAAGAAATCGGAGAACTAGATGATAGAACCTCTAAAATGTATAAATACGTTGTAAATTTCTCTTTCATGTAATCTTTAGTTTTAACTAAAAAAAGTTTATTAGTTTTATTAGTTTTTTTAGTAAACTCAAATATTATAATAAATAAACCTTGACCTTGTCCTTGTTATCTTCGAAAATTACATTTTCGTAATTAATAATTAATTACTATCTTACCAGGGGGACGCCTTTGATAAGTATAGTTGTATATATTTCTTTAATTTTATTTTCTTTATTTTTAGATTAGGCCAACACCTAAACAAGTGGAAACCCTAGCTAGGTGCGGTCAGTTAAGAAACACTGAACCATCAAAACACAACACATCGGTATCAAGGAGGATACAGGGATTATTATCAGAAGAGATAATAATTGACACGTTCTGGCTCAGGCAGCAAACATAGCAACTGCTGAGAAAACGTTACCGGAAGGGAAGTAAGAAAACTTGCCCTGCAAATAATTAAATAGCTTGAGTGCTATAGTAAAAGAAAGTAATCAAAGAATTACATAACTGGGTACTGCCAGAAAGTGGTGTAAATAATATTTTAACCAAATCCAAGAGATTTGTGTGAGACGCGAATTTTGATCTCACAGTATCTAGTAATTTGTGGCTATTATAAAAGTATTGAATTGAATTTTATGATTCCAGGACATACCAAATTCAAATGTGATGGTAGCTTTGGTTTAATAAAAAAACTCTACAGAAGAACCAGAGTAGATTGTATGGATAATGTGGTTGAGGTAGTAAAAAGTCTAGTCCAGCAGAATTGAATAAAGTTCAATGTTATGAAGGTGGAAAAGGTTTTCAATATTTGGATATCAAATCTATTTTTGGAATTTATTTTAAGAAATTGCCAAATATACAGAAATATCAACATTTTCTTTTTGAAGCAACTAATCTTGGAATGGTCAAAGTTCAATAAGTGGCTAATGGACCTTTTGCTGAATTCAATTTATTGAAAACCAAGAAAGCAGATATTTTTGAAGAAATTAGAGCTTTATTTATTTTAGTGTTAACACCACCTCCTTTGGATTACAAAAGACAAGAATATCTTTACCAGAATATTTGCCCATTTGTGAAAGATGAATACAAAGATATTACTTGTCCAAGACCATTCTATACTGGTAACAAATAAAATATTCAGAATAAAATCATCTACATCACTAATTAATTTGCCTTTACTGTCATTAAGTTTAATAAACTTTTGACAAATATTGTTAGCTTTTTCTACCTTTAAAGTAAAAAAGTACTAAAATGATTTATATACTTAATATGCCCTCATAAAAAAGATATAAGTATATTAAAAAAATAAATAAAAAAAAAAAAGGTAATAAAAAGAAAGTCATGACAAACATTATAAGTGAACTCCAAGAAAATAATAAAAAACTGATAGAAGAAAATGAAAATTTAAAGAAGCAATTAGCAGATAAAGAAGAAAATCTTAAACTAAAAATCTGACAAAGTATGAATGGAGCGAGAAGAGGCTGAAAAAGCACTAAATAAAGCCATGGAATGGAGAAAATGACAAATGTTTGAAACTGTGTTGAAACATGATGCTGCAATGGGCAAACTTCAAGACCGAATAGATTTATTAGAAAATAATTTAGCTGCTAAAAATCAGGAAACAAACTGAAAAGATTATTTAACAACCAAAGAATTACCAGCTTTACCAAAACAACAAAAAGAAAACAGATTATGCAAACTCAAAAAATTAGTAAATAAAGTAAAAGAAAAGACTAAAGAGAAGTTCCAGACTTTTATTGTTCAAAAGAATAAGTAAGCAAATATGAGATTAGAATATAGAATTCTGGAAATAACCCAGGGAGATGAACAAGAGTGTAATTTTTGTTTTCTAGATTTTGATGACCCAACTCTCCTTAATTTTGATACTGCTCCTGCTACTCATCAAATGGTGGCTCGTAATAC